TTTCTTTATGTCCAGACGCAGAGATTTTTTTGTGTGGTTCTAAGAGAATTTATGCCTACAGGATCCTCTTCGGCCGATGTAAGAAACTGCCAAGAGGAGCTTCTCTGGGAGCCTGTTGCATGAATGTATGGATCTTCTCATGTCATGTTATAAAAGCTGTTGACAATGAACAGTTGTTTTACATGTGGGGGGAAAAAAAAAAGCTTGGAAGGGCTATTTCAGGGAATCCTCTTATAGACTGAATGTTCTCCCTTAGCTTTTCTAAGCAATGCCAACAGAGTTGAATCTTGTTTTATTGTTCATTTAGCTTACAAAGTTAGTTAATTTTTTTCCCATGCATTTGTTTCCACTGACACTTCTTTTCTCACAATGACTTAGGAAAAGGAACTAATGAGAGTCAAAATAGGACACATTGGTGGCGTTAGGACATCCATTTTTATACTACTATAACTGAGATCATAGAAAAAGAACCCACACGGTATTTGGCACCTAGTAGGTATGCCTTCCTAGAAGGATGTCGTACACATATTTTCCCGCTGCCCCTCTTTTTTGTTCCTATCTTTTAAAATTTGGTTGGTATTTTGTCCCACCCAAGGGAGTGCTTTGGATACCCGTCCTGTGGTGTTGGTCGGCGTAGTCTGTTCCAGACTTCGGCATAGACCACTGTCACGTTGCTTTTGGCGACTACAGGCTGTGGCCCCAGCTCCTGGGCCACATACTACTCCTTTCAAGATGTTTTTTTACTCCTAACCCTTCTGCCATCCTTCCTGGCCCACGACGGAGAGGATGCACCTTGCTGACATGCCTGTCATTTCTGGGTTTTCTTCTGCAGTCATGCCAAGAGACTGGGATCCACATCACCATCTCCCCAGTACACCACTTGGCCGAAATCCTCCAGAAATGCATGTGGCCAAGCCATAATCCATTTTATATATCCCAGGAATGATAGTCGTTCACTGTTTTCAGAGCCTGTGCCTAGATCACAAACTTGTGATGTTTCTCCGCAGCACTTCCCTTCACCTTTGCTCCCTTTTTTTTAACCCTTCCTTGTCCCTGGGATTGTTGTGACTCAGAAGTAAATTGTGCCTGAAGCTTTTCATTTTTCTGAAAGTCTGTGTTTCTTTTCTTTCTTTCTTTTTTTTTTTAAGATATATTTATTTAATTTTATTTATTTATTTATTTATTTATTTAAAGATTTTTATTTATTTATTTGACAGACAGAGATCACAAGTAGGCAGAGAGGCAGGCAGAGAGAGAGGAAGGAAAGCAGGCTCCCTGCCGAGCAGAGATCCTGATGCGGGGCTTGATCCCAGGACCCTGAGATCATGACCTGAGCCAAAGGCAGAGGCTTTAAACCACTGAGCCACCCAGGTGCCCCAAGATATATTTATTTTAGAGAGAAAGAGAGAGAGGGTGCATGAGGGGAGGAGAGGCAGAGGGAGAGGGAGAGAGAGAATCTCAAGCAGACAGATGGCTCCCTGCTGAGTGTGGAACCTCACGTGGGACTAGATCCCGCAACCCAGAGGCCAGACCATGACCTGAGCCGAGAGTTGGACCCTTAACCAACTGAACCATCCAGGTGCCCCGTGAAAGTCAGGATGTCACTAAGTTAAATATCGTACCTTGTATTCACTGGTCATAACGAACGTGTGCGTTTTGGATGGAAGTTACGATTTCTGTTCAGAGGAAGGGTGTGGGTTTGCTGGGGTGGGTGTTAAGGAAGAGAGAGCGCCTATGAATGAAGCAACATAGAAACAGTGAAATGTTCCGATCCTTAGGGAGGAAGGATAAAAATAACAAAACCCTGATGTACTATATTTTATCCTTTATGTCGGCTGAGAAATTAGGGTCAGGACCCAGAAACTTTGCTCTATCTCCTGGTGTCTGTTTCAACGCAGGTGGGGTGGGCTTCTCCTTTGATGGGTCATTTCCTTCTCTCCTTTCACATTCCAGGCTGCATTAAGATGACAAATTTCACTTATAGGCTCAGGCACAGACGTGAAAACCTGAACTATGGAGTTAGCTGAGTGAGTGCAGGGAAGTGGATTTATTGTGGGGAGACAGGGATTGTTTGAAGAGCACAAAAGATTTGGGGAGCCCAGGTCTGCATCAGAGCACACAGAGGATGGGCTCTTACAAGACCCGCCCTTCCCCCAACGGCTCCTTGCTTAAGGCTCATCACTTGTCTCAAGGCTGAAGACAAATACATGTTAAAGTAATTAAGACACTTCTTTAAAACACCCCCCGACCCCCAAATACGTTGCTTGTAGACAAAACTTCATTTGGACATAACCTTGTAGTGGCTTTTGCAGAAAGGTTGAGGGTAGTGTAAGGAGAATAAAGTCCTTGTGTTCTTTTTCTATCTGGGAACTCTGCAATAAATAGTTCACTTTTCCTACCCTGCCTTAAGTAAGGGGGAAAAAAAAATCTTGGACGGCAAAGACCAAGTCCGTCACATCAAACATGACTGCGTTAAATACTAAAATGTTCAAAGTCCGACTGAGATAGATAAAGGCTTTGATGGAAAGTGGATATTTCCCAGGGACATTACAAGCAATAATCCAGATGTTATGGTGTAATGCAACGAGTGTCCGTGGATAGATCAGGAGCTCCAGCCAAGCCGCGCCTGATGTAGGCCTTTGCCTTGCCCTCCCATGCTGTTCTGCCATATGGAACCTATCTCTCGGCCCCCTTAATAACCAGCTTTGGATTCCATTTTCACAGAGCTCATAGAGCTAAGTGGGGCTGTTTTATGGACAAGTTAGATAGAAGCCTTTCCAAGATAAACATCCAATTTGAAATTAGGACATACCGAGCCACAAAATTATTTTAGGGCATATTTCATGGAAGCAGTACCATTTTTCTTAGGCAATTGCCAGACTGTAAGATGCCCTTTGATCCCATGTGGACATTACTCCCTTCTTTATAAAAAGGGTTTTGAAATAGTTGCAGTGTTTAGGGAGGAATATATCTGTCGGAGCTTTGAAGCATGGCCATGGGACAGGTCATGGTTTAGCTTCTTGGTTGGCAAGTCAAACTTTCAGAAAAAAAAAGTAAAAAAAAGAGAATTGTAGCAGGATATACGAATCAAAACCTCATTTTTCTTTTAAAGAGAGATTTTCAGCCCAGGTACTTAATGAGGTATAAAATATATTCGATGTATCCAGCTCTATATGGTCACATTCAGAGTTACAAATGCATATGCGTATCTGTTCACATATGTGTCTATTTATATGCTGTCTTTTTATTAACCATAAAATTGCTTAACTTTAATTATTTCGTAAAGTTTTGTTAGTGAATATATTCTATGTACAACCGAACTGGAAACAGAAGTTAAGAAAAGATCATCCATGTTCTCCCAAGGACAGGGATTTTTTTTTTTTTTCTTTTGAAAATCCCGGCTCTGTCTCAGCACCTCCAAAACTCGTGTGTGTGTGTGTGTGTGTGTGTGTGTGCGTGCACATGTGCACACACGTGCCTATGCCTACATCTTAAGAGAAAAGCAACACAGTTGTGAAGTTTGAGAGTGTAGATTTCCTTGAATGTGTTTTGTTTAAAGGTAGTCACAAAAGGACCCGCCAAATGGTTGGGGTGGCCCTGCTGTATCATTTTTTAAAAGTGGTGGAGTGACATGTGTTGGATGAGGTAAGCCGGGATATAATTAATATGATACTGACATACCATTTGTTGTGATAAATTGTGACTAACTGGTGTCCGAGCAAATTGGTGACTGAATGATCTCGAAGATATATTGAGCAGATGACAGGGAATGAATATATAGTGTTAGAAATGCATTGCTTTCCTGTGATACTTGATGTCATTTACATTCTTCAGTCCATTTATTTCTCCTTCAAATAAAGCGGTCTGTGCTCGTACCATTTCATGTATCGAGCGGCAAACATAAATGAACTCCGCCAAATAATGCCGTGTGCGGAGTGTGCGGGAATCCTCGTTCCGGCAAACTCACCATAAAAAGACATGGTTGAGACCTTCAGGGACATGTGAATGGGTGCTGGGTATTTCACGATAGTAAGGGAATTATGGTTACTTTTGTGGAGTGTGATCATGGCGTGGTGCTTATGGAAAAACAAATATGGATTTTTGCGTTCAAATATTTCAGCCAGAGAGAACGAGGGAAGGGATACATGAAATCAGATTGGCAAAAATGTTGAATCAGATGAATAAGTACGTGGAGATTTATATACCATTCTCTCTGCCTTTGTGTATGTTTGAAAATTTACATAATGGAAATTAAAAATAAACAAAGTGTGCTTGTCCTCTTTATAATTTAATAATAGGCGATGTTTGCTTTTTTCTATATTGTTTAAGGGGTGTGTGAGTGTGCATGAGTAATATAATTTAGAAAAGGAAAAAAAAATTAAGTTAACAGTTACTGAATCTCTACTGGATCCCAGGCACCGTGCTAAGTCCTTTCTACGTCCTTCCCCTCCCTGCAGATCTGCAGAGCTCATTTGCCTGGTTAGCTGATGGCAGGCAGGATCAGGAGTTGTGAATCTCATGGTGGTATGAGGCTTTTTAGTAGTAGCCCAAGGAATAGGGGAAGTGTGGACAGATTCAAGTGTGAAGGATAAATTCAAAACCGTTATTTCTAAGTACCCGCAGGAATTTTGTTTCCTTGCAAGCAGTGCCTTGCTCTTTTCTCTCTGTTTCCCAGAATGCTTTTCCTCCCTTCCTACTATTAAAATAGCAGAAGGCCCTGATTCCTACCAAGGAGCACATCTGGGTGGGAGTAGAGGCCAGTGCCAAACCAAGTGTTGCTCCCAATCATCCTTCACTGTATTGTTACAAGTCCAGGGCTCGAGAAGGAAATCACATAACTGTGCTTGCAGGTTTGCAAAATCGATGAAGACTCGTAACACTTTGACAGTCAGGGAGTGCTATTCCTAATCCCATACTGAAAGCTGGAATTCCTGTGATCACCAAAGTCACACTCAAGAATTATCAGCAAGTTTATATGTCATCTTCCTTCTTTGCTTTAGTCCTCTTTGATACGTAACCTGCGGCTCTCAGAGTCCCTGAGAAAGAACCAACTCTGGAACGGGATTATAAGTATAACGTTGTTAGAAGGAAAGGATGTCGCAGGAGGAAGCATGACAGAGATGTTTGTCCAGTTAAAACTGGGAGATCAGAGGTATAAAAGTAAGGTAAGTTCTGTCAATTCCTTAAGAAGTACAAGATTTTTCATAATAAAGGAACTGAAAAAAAAAAATGTTTTCCACTTTGAATTTCACAGGAAGAGGAGAAATTTAGTTTTAGCCCTCGTAACTTAATTAGGAGCATTCCAGACAACAGAAGAATTATATAGCTGTAGACAATTAATATACCTATTGGGTTGCTTAGCATAATTTATTTTAATATAGTAACTGGAGTTAGAGAAAACTTATTAAATAACAGATTTGGTTGCATGATTTATTTTCATTTAGAAAATAAGCAAACGTTTCAAAGATTGCAGGAAAGGGATAACTAAATATTTTCAAAATCCTACAAAAATAAAATCATGTAATATATTTGGGTGAAAACACTTGAGATAATAAAAAATATTTTTAAAATCATATACTCTTTGCTTTCTCTTACTTGTTAGTATTAACACCAAAAATGGACATTTGATGCTGGTTGCTGTAATTTTTTTTTTTTAACTGAAGTATTAGTGATTTTTTTTTGAACAAAAGTAATGGTATTTTTAGCTGCCTTTAGAACTCAATCATCTTACTCTCCTGAAACAAATTCCACTTAATTTTTAATCTTAGTAATTTGGTGTGGTTTTTATTTCAAAAACCGTAGTCTCCAAACCATGGTAATGAATTCGTTTTGCATAACTGTCAGACAGGAATATTTCCTAAGTTTTTATGGCTTGGGGGAACGAGGGTACCGGAAAGTTAAGTCACTTGCCCAAAGCCACATAGGAAAAAAAAAACAAAAAACCCAAAAAACCAAAAATCAAAAACAAACAAGCAAAAATAAAAAAAGCACTGGTGGAAGATTTAGAAAATAGACCCGAGGATATTTGTAATTTGGGCTTTCCAGTGTAGAGGATGGAACATGCAGACAGATGTAGTTGGGAAATGATTTGGAGAGCAAAAGATTGTTTCTGCTGCACGCTCTTCAGTGCAAAATCAAACATTAAACATCACTTACTCCACCACAAAGAGTAAAGAATTGAAGCTGACACTAGAGCATCAGTTTTGAGAAACATTAAAAAAATTCTGGGTGAGTTACAGCAGAATGAGGCAGATGATTATTTTAATCAGGTAGTTTCAGGCTGTACCTGACAGTGAATGTATCCAGAGTGAACACATCTCTCTACTAAGAGTCCTTTAGCCAGCCAGGGTCAGGCTAAGGATTTACAGAAAAATTATTCATCTCTAAGTACACTTAGCCCTTTGGACTAAGGTGAAGTGCAGAACAAGTCCAGTATTTGCTCCAGTACCCCCTTGGGGAATATCACATTTAATTTGTGGTCGAATATTTTTTTTCCTGTGGTTTCTAAATTCTGTGATCTGATATATTAAGCTCAGTGTGAGAAAGAGCTTAAAAGATATTACATGATGTTGGCTACAGCCGACGTCTGAGTTGTCCCCCTTTTCCCTTGCAGAAACAGTTTGGTGCTTGGATTAACAGTTGACTCAGTTCTTCTGATAGTCCGTGCCCAGCATTCTTGCTCTGTTTTATTAACAAATTCAGTCTCTGGGTCAGTGAAACAAAAGTAAAATAATAATAATAATAGCAAAATTAAAAAAAAATGCTGCTAAGGTATCAAACCCATAAGCAGTTCGCAGTCACCGGGAGAACACAGAAACCCTTGTGGAGTTTTCAGACCAGGCTGTTAACTTTTTCGGTGTGGCCATTCTGGGGCTTCTTTGTCTTTCTCTCGCTCAAGTGTCTGGACTCAGTAAACTCAGATTTAAAACCAGGCAGCAATGGCCCAGGGACAGGTTTCTCATGCAATGCATCAGAAGCAATGTAATGAACACCTCAACCTCCTAAATTATGGACTTCTTACGCCAGCACTGAATGGATGTGCTAATAAAATTGATACTTACTTGCATTTGATTAACCAATGAGGAGTATGTTTTGTGAGAGAACTACTGTAACTGTCTATTGAGATATGTTTAATATGTCTATAATATCTCTGTAATTTATGGTTCCTTGTGGGGTAATTCTGGTGGGATCACTTTTGCTAACGGGCTCAATAAATACTTGAATCTGCGGGTGAGCTAAACAGGGAGCGATGGTTTGCCAATTCCCGAAACCTCAAAGTCCCTTTCGTTCCAAAATGGAAAGTTTAACTTTCTGAGGGAGGGGCACACTGTCCCCATCTCCTGCCGGGTAGATGTGAAATGAATGTATGTAGCTTCTGTTGTGATGAATGGCATTTTAAGAAAATAAATATTATAACTGCATGTTTTCTAGACACTGTGTAAGAGTGCAAATCCGCAGTGGCGGGAACAGTTTGACTTTCACTACTTCTCTGACAGGATGGGCATTTTGGACATTGAAGTGTGGGGAAAAGACAGCAGAAAGCACGAGGAGCGTCTGGGCACGTGAGTCGGCTCTGCTTTCTAACTCGGGGGAGACGTGTGTGTGGCTTGTGTCCACATGGGGCTGCTCAGAGAGAATGTTGTGATCTGTTTGGCCTTAGAGTAAAACCTCACATCCCCACCCCAGCAGCCATAAAGAAGTTGGACCCTAACCCCGCGGGAAAATCTTGTTTTAACTGGTCAATGTCATTTCATATCGATTAAAACAGAAGAAAATAGTATGTGTCAGGAATTCTCTAAAAAAAAGTTATTGTGTCATCTCAGGTCTTTGGGAAATGTTTATGCCTGGGTCCACTTACACACATTTTTCTTTTTCCCCAATAAATACTGTAAATGTATTTTCTCTTCCTTATGATTTTTTACAAAGTAACATTTTCTTTTCCCTCGCTAACTTTATTGTGAGAATGCAGATAACCTACAAAATATGTGTTCATTGTTTATATTATCGATAAGGCTTTTGATCAACAGGGGGCTGTTTAGTAGTTGCGTTTTAGGGGAGTGAAAAGTTACTGGCAGGTTTTGGACTGTGTCCTGGGCATCGGCACCTGTGACCCCTGCATTGTTCAGTAATCAACTGTGTAAATTTCCAGTGTACCGTACAATTTTGGTTTTGCTACTTAGTAAAATACCATATAATTTAACAAGAAGTTGAAGCTAGGTGTCTCAAAATGATGGGGGAAATTTTCAGTGTCCTCGGTGAGTTTTGGGGCAAACCATAATGAAATCTGTCGAGGCAAGATCTAGTTTCTTTCTTTCCTCTGCACTTTCCCAGCTTAACTGAGGGGCTCACCTATGTGTAACGAGCAATATCATGAATGTTATAGCGTCCTTTTCAGAGCAGTACCATTCAGTGAGATTGTGCCCACACCATGGCTGGCCCTTGGGAAGTACCATGGAAATGCTGGTGGAAAGATCATCTCTGATCTTTCAAGGAGCCCTGCAAATTAGCAGCATTCTTCCTGTTCTGTGGAGGAGGGAGGAAGAGTGCAAGAGGCTTACAAATGACTTGGCCACGGACTTCAGAGCAGCGAGTGCCAAGGCTAGGATTCTGTGTTTTCCAAGACCAATTTCTTTCCATTATGTCACTGCCTTTTTTCATCCCATACAATTTGTACCCAAATCTTAAATCTAGGATACAGGCATTCAAAGGGCTCTCAACAGGTGTTTGTCATCTTTTCCAAACCAAGGTTTCTGGAACCCTGCATTCCGAGAGATGCCTGGGGCTCATCCCTTATAGAATGGGGGGATGGGGTCCTGCTAAATCTCTATCCTGAGGCCAGAGAATCTCAACTTTTACCTCTCTTCTAAATTGGGATTCTAACTGAGGACATTCTTATTGCCGAAAGCTAAAGACGGAAAATGACTCCTCCAATAGAACCCCATCCATTCACTGATGAGGGAATGCAGAGGCCCAAGCAAGTGAATGTTTTTCCATCAGCAGGGAACTTGCTGGCAGAAATGGGGGCGAGACCCAGCTAACCCACCAGTCCCTTGTGCACTGCTTTTTCCGAGCACAGATACTGAGCACAGCATCTGGCACACAGACTGTCAGCTCCTCTTGCCATCTTCACCCATCATCCCTTGCCAGCAGCTCTCCTGAGATAGCTGGGTGGAGAGTTTGGTACCCATGGAACATTCCTGCCATGTTTCTCAATGGAGGCACGTGTTCCATGGGACTGTCTGGCGTGTTGCAGGATGTTTAGTAAATCTGGCTCTTACCCAGCTGATACCTGTTCCTTTCCCCAGTTAGTGTGTGGAAAACATACACACGACACATCCGCATTCCATCACGCATATTCAGACACCCCCTTGGGGAACAGTATGTCACCAGTCAAGACCTTGGCTCTTTAGCCTCCATGGGGCATTGCCCTGGTTCTATCACTTTGTGTAGCCCTCTCATCCCCAGCGCTGTGCTTATCCTGCAGCTGGCTGACATTGCTTCATCATCGACAACCCCCATGGGCCAGGTTGGTGCTTTGGGATAGCATACGGGGCCATGTCACACCCTCCAGCTCCTGCAGGAGGTTTCCCCCTGGTCCCCTTGCAGATATGCCTTGCAAATGACTTTAGGTCTCATCTCTCCTTCCTGTGCCTACACAGGGTAACTGAGATACTTCAGACATTTCCCGAGACCTCTGACACCTGTCACCGCTGTGACATACCAGCGCCCTGCCAACACCCATTTCAGGGGGATCAGAAACCTTATGCCAGCCCACGCAGCCAAGGATGAGTTGCGTAAAGGCGCGAATGCAGAGAACTCTGTGTCCCAAAGCGTTATCTGAGGGGTGGGGATTTGGGCTTCCAGTGATGAATGGCCAGTGTGTTATATTAGGAGGTGCAGAGAATGTGCCCTTCTCGTTTCACACATCACTGTGCTGTCCTGTTTCCTTCATAGGAAATGCTTTTCCAGATGAGCATTCAGTTTTTTCACAGCCACAGAAAATAATTTAAGATGCCCCTTTCCTCCCATGTGTTGTCATGGGAGTTGCTCATTTATTTTAGTTATTTCCTGTTTGTAACTTAGACATGTACCTGTCTTAGGGGTCATGATGTCCTTCCTCTTCATGGATTTTAAAGGATCTCTTTGGTATCCTCTTCCTTTTTCCTCTCCTGAGGTACAAAAGATAAAAAAAGCATCTCTTGGAAGCTGGCTAAACCCAGCATTACCTTCAGTGGGATGAGACCTACCTTAACATACAGAATCGTAACGATGGTGTGGCATCACCATACGCTGACTTTCACAGACCTGTTACCTACGGTTCCTTCCCACTGTTAACTTCTCACTTGTTTTCTTCTCATTTCATTTTCTTTGTTGTTTTAATTTTAAGGCTCGGTTATTTTCTCTCCCCATGGTCAGGAAATACCTTTTTACACGAGGAAACTCTTTGACAGTGTGAAGGAGTCATAACTGTCTCTTAAGACACGTTTCATATTTTGTTTTTGGAGAACACCTTGAAGCTAGTCGTTTAAAGCCCTCCATGGCCTCTCTGAGGAAATTCTCATCAGCGAAGCTTCCCTTTGCAGGCAGCTTGACGTGAGCAAAAGGAGCACCAGCTTGGAGTTGCAAATTCAGAGTTTGTTAGCTATGTGACAGTGAATTTGCTTGTGAGGTTGGGCTTTCTTTCCGTGGGATCCGGTCAGCAACAGTGTCTCTGTAGTACCTTGGTCTCTTTTCAGCACTTAAATGTTAGATATTATAATTACTATTAATTTTGAGATTTTTCTGTATGACAACTAGAGAACCCCACAACAACTGCAACTAAAATTATGCAATTCAAGAAAAAGAAATATGACTAGTAAAATTCAGTATATATATATATGTCTATATATATATATATATATATATATATATATATAGTATCTATTTTTTTTTCTAAACAGTATAGACATTTAAAAAAAAATGTTTGCAGAAGTTGGCGGTGAATGTCTTCAAGGACATGTTGCAAAGGACATTTGTTGACTGAAGGATTGAGCAGCAGCATTAACACTAGTGGGGAGCTAGCTTGGTGATGGTTCAGACATGGGCCTCCCTAATGGCCAGCCTTCTCCTGGCTCTCCTGAGTCACGTGGAGCTTTCTGAAACCTTGTCATGGTTCCCCTTCAGTCTTCCACCGAGCCCACAAGGTATTCCTGAGGGCGTCAACGTGGGTCCCCAGATCCAATGTCCCCTGGGACCATAGTGCCTACGAACTCTAATATTTATTCATGAGCAAAACCAAATCAAAACAGAAAAATTACTAAAAAAAAAAAAAAAAAACCAACCAAACAAACAAACACAACTTTCTTTTATATTTAACTTAAAATGTTTTAATTAAAACGTTAAAAAATTGAAGTCCATCTGTGGTTCAGAGAGTAAAACTTTTAAACAAAAGGGCAAGAGTCTAAATACAGATTATCTCATTGTAAACCTGGGCCACTTCAAAACAATTATATGTTTTCTTAAAGCCTATTTTGCATTTCAAGGTGATTTTAGGGATTAACTTGTTCTAGAATATTCTAGGCTTTAGTTCTGAAAAGTCACGGATGAGAAAGTTTGAGTCTGTTTTAACTGGACTGCCTCAGAGTCAACCTTCAGTCCTACATGGTGCCTTGGAAAATGGCTCTGACGTCCTCCAGGTTTCTTAGCGACTCTGATGTGGTGGAGAAGTGGGGCTGGGAGATTTCTCTGGACAAATTGCACCACATGCCGTTGATCTGTTTTTACAGCCTGGCTTGACACGTTTGCCGTTTTCTTCGTGTTCACCCCCTTCCTTCACCTCTGAGATTTACAGCTTTTCAAACTACAGTACTCTTTTCTGCTCCTTGCATTTAAGTTAAAAGCTGGCCAGTCTGTAATATAAAACAGGGAATTATGGTAATGAATAAGAGGTTAAAAGCTATCATGGCAAGTGAAACTTGAGCAGGTTTGGGTGACTGATACGGCAAAATTATGTGTTGAATTAAAACATTAAAATGCAGCAGGATTAATGGAGAAAGACAAGAACAGGAGGTCAGAAACAATGCTAAATCAGCACATTCACTGCCTGTAGGCTGGGGAAAAAAATAGTAAGTCCTTGTCTTCTTCAGGTAAAGAGAACTGTGGACTTTTCAATCTGGAAAGCCTATATATATATATATTTATATATATATTTCCATGCCTTTCATGGAAATTAAATATATATGTTTATATATATTTATATATATATATTTCCATGCCTTTCATATGTAGGGGAAGAATTAGAGAGTACACAGTATTTAGTTGGTTAACAAAAAACACTTGCCTCTGTCATTTGGAGTTCTTGACTTTGAGCTTCATTATGTCACTGCTCTTTACTCGTTTGTGTGTTCACTCTGTTCAAGAAATAGAGAACACATCCTGTATAGGATAGCCTGTAACGGTAGCTGGGATTCAGTGGAAAATTGTAGTGGATGGACGCTGTCCTCAGACACTAAGAAGTTTGGGGCTGCTCCAAGGAGGCAGTCAGCAGCTTGGGGGAGAAGGAGGAAGAGAGCAGCTTCCTGGA